CCCCATCCTCCTGACACCTACCCTTCAGATATTTATAAGCATTTATTAGGTCCCCTCTCAGCCTTCTCTTCTTCAGGCTGAACAAGCCCAGCTCCCTCAGCCTCTCCTCGTAGGAGAGATGCTCCAGTCCCCTCATCATCCTCATAGCCCTCCGCTGGACTCTCTCCAGTAGCTCCTCATCTTTCTTGAACTGGGGAGCCCAGAACTGGACACACTACTCCAGATGGCGTCTCACTAGGGCTGAGTAGAGGGGGAGGAGAACCTCCTTGGACCTGCTGGCCACACTCCTCTTGATGCATCCCAGGATCCCACTGGCCTTCTCAGCAACAAGGGCACACTGCTGGCTCATGGTCAACTTGTCATCCACCAGCACACCCAGGTCCCTCTCCACAGAGCTGCTCTCCAGCAGGTCCGCCACAAGCCTGTACTGGTGCATGGGATTGTTCCTCCCCAGGTGCAGGACCCTGCACTTGCCCTTGTTGAACTCCATCAGGTTCCTCTCTGCCCAACTCTCCAGCCTGTTCAGGTCATGCTGAATGGCAGCACAACCTGAGACTGGCGAAACATGATTGGATTGCAAATTTCGATTTTGAAAATTTTGGTGATAATGTCAAGAGGCACCACTCCAAGCCTAAACAACCTTTGGAAATCCCCAAGCCAAGCATGATCCATGCACTATTGCATCAAAACAATAATCAGATAACAAAATCCAGCAAGAATACTTCACTGTTGAAGGAAACATACAGAAGAATGGAGATCTCAGCAAGCAAGCAATAGTAAGGTTAAAAAGAAATATCTGCACCTACTTCCAAATTCATCAGCATGACAATTCCAAAGATTTACAGCATTAAAACATATGCATAATTTCAACTTGCTTACAATGCTTGTGTTAGCATGTGGCTTTAGAAAGCAGTGATCAAAAAGATCTTAAAATAAATAAAATATTAGGTCTTATGAAGGATTCTGTGTCTGCAAGACAAACTTTATCAGCAGATGATACATGATATCTCCAGCTAGCGGCTTGTTTCCAGCAGAACCAGTAGAATGTGTAAAACAGATTATTCACAAACATCGATTCACAAAGCTGTACAGCTGAAAGCCTGTTGGTGTATTTAAAGAATGAAGTTACAGATCAGTTACACAGAACATACAGCTGTCAACGGCAGGGTGGACAATCTTCATTACAACAGTGGAAGTAGCAACAAATTACAGAGACTGAAACTAATTTCTGTTTTATAGGGAATTGTTCTGTAATGAGAAGGGAAAGAATGTAGCAGCAAAGAAATTAGTTTTAAAATACACAACTACCCAGAAGAATCCAGAAACAGAAAAAAAATGGATTTGGAAGGAAGCTTGCACTTTTGCATGTAAAAGCCAATAGGCCTCTAACGTGTAAACTAAAGAACTGTAAAAATGTAGGGCTGGAAGAGACCTCATGAGGTCCTTGAAGCTAATCAACTTCTACTTTCCTGTGCCTTCCAGAAAGGAAAAAAACCTTTGTCCACCGTTCTCCAAACAACAGCTTTTATCTTTTGGAAGATGTGTAATATCTCTTTAGACATCGCCTTTGTAAATAGAACTAGACTTTTTCAGTCTTTTCCTAACAGGTCATAGTCTTCCTTCCAGTACTAAACTTTTCCCAGTTAATTTGCTTCATTTTTAAGTGCTGGAGATAAAACTGCCACAATATCCTACTTAAGTTTTCACTAATTCTCAAATGATGGGAATAATTACTTCCTATCTCATACTTATGGCACTCTTAGCAAACTAACAATAAACTCACATCACTGACTCAGTTTGAGATTTATGCTATCTGCTGAAGTTTTTTTCCTTTTTTTAAAAAAATAATCCTCCTATTTTGTCAAAACACAATATGGCAAAAGAACATCTTGGAGAGTATGCTCGGTGCTTACTAACAGGATGAAAGGCAGAAAGAGAGAAAAGCAATGATCTATTTCTGTTGATTACTCAGACTCTGGCAAGTGCCCCCCAACTTATTTTATAAATGATGCTAATTAAAAGAAGGATACATTTTAGCTTCACCTACACTACTTTGCAAAATTATCCTTATAAAATGGCTAGCAACAGGAAGAAAAACATCAGCAGGTGGTGAAATAACCATGGCCACTAAATTGGACAGAAGTAAAACCCAACTTGACTGAAGTCCGTGGACAAAGAAACAGACCACAGCGCTCTTTATTTCCAGGATTAACTGCCACTCATCGGCACTCACTGGGAATCTGACACCACACTATCACAAAATACGTAATGTGGAGCAAAAGAAGTAAACGTCCTAGTTTTACTAAACTGCTATTTAAACATCTATAAGTAAAATGACTGTTAGGAAGCTTTGATAGGATTGCTTCAGCATTATCTCAAAATTTTAACTACAATTAAATTAGACCCTTGCAAATACCCAAACGCAGTTGTAACAACTGAGAGGACTGAAATGCAGACTACCACTGATTCAAGAATGGATATTCAACAATGTTGTCTTATCCCTGAACCACTTCTCCAACAAAAACATTTATCATTAATCCCACTCTTTAGATAATGCAATGGTACAGAAAGGTAATTTGAAGAAAATATGGAGGCAGAACTACTGCGTACAAACCTGTAATCTTGTTTCAAGGGCTTTGACAGTAAGTAAACCATTCTCTTGCAGTCCTTCTGTGGCAGGAACATCATGTTTATAATTAATACCACTCTAAAAAGAAAAAACCCAAAACGAAATCCTGAATTAATTAAACCCCTTAATTAAAAAGCTGCACACAGCATTATAAAAATATGTGGGAAAATACAGAAAACTAGGAGAATCACAGTATGCATTTCAAAAGAAAAATCTTATCTTCTGGAAGCAATTAGAGATTGATAGTACATAATGGAAAGACCCAATTATGAGAAGATAATTAACAAGCACTATGGCCTTAATTAAGAGTTCTTAGCCGAAAGGTGGCATTGTAGCAAACCGGTTACACACGTGAAGCATTTTCAACCACATTAGCTTTATTTCCCAAAAGAATGTTGATGCTATCAAGGAAGTGGAATAATCTCTTCAGATGACTTATTTCACGATTACAGAGGGGAATATTGTATTCAAACTTCAGGGCATTTCACAGCACGCATCCAATTTCACTTTTCACCAACACTTTAATGTTTTGTTGAGGTTTTCTTAATTTGGGAAGTACAGACTAAGTAGCTGAGAAAAGGCAAGCTGAACTTACTGCATAGCTGACCTCTCCAAGATCTGTTATTTCGAATGTACTTAACAGGTCTGTATTGGAGTCATCCTGGAAAAGCAGTAGCAGTTGCTCACTTCCAGAGCCGATAAAATCATCCACCAGAACAGACTTCACTTTTTGCCATTTGGAAGCCACCTACAGTAGACAAGATGTTAAAATAAATACATTTGAATAAATCTTGTATTTGCAATTTCGTTTTGTGAAGATTGCTTTTTATAAAGAGGCAGTCTATTCAGGTGTGTGGAATACAGTGTGTTTTAAGAAGTTCCAAGCTCTCACTCTTACTCCATCATTTAGAGCGTATGTAAGTCTGGGAAAAATTAGCCATTTCTCTTTAAAGATCACTTTCCAGAACAAAGGTGGCAAAAGAGATGACAAGTTTTCTGTCTACTTACACAGCTGACTAGCTGAATGCTGTAACATTTATTTAGAATCAGTAATACTTGCAGATCAGTTATTATATACTTGCGGATCAGACATTATACCTTTGACATTCAGAAAAATCTTTGTTGCATTGCACACTTTAATACGTTTGAGAGGTAAAGGCAAATGTGTACAATCCTGCTGACAACTAAACAGGACAAACTTTCTTTTCCTGAGTTACGTAAGTCTGCTTGACAGAGTATTACAAAACCCTAGCAGTTAACTTTGACTCATAACTTTAGAAAACAAAAGCGATGCCTCTTCTCATTTCCATGAAATGGTACTTTTTGTTTCTAGGAAGTGAGACTCAAAAAGCTTTTAAATTCCGGTGAGAAGCTTATGCTTTGCAGTGATATCAGTTCACTTTCATTTTAACACAAATCAGGTAAGCACGCTCATAACTATCTTACAACTTCAAGTTCTCATACTATGGAAGTTTCCAATTAGCAACAGAAGCTTTAGCTCAGATTCATAAAAAGATTCATAAAAGGAATCTGAGCTAAAGCTTGAATAAAATTCTAAATAATAGAATCCAGTTTTTATTTTCAGATATATGACTAATGAAAGCAAAACAATCTCATACTTTAGACAGGTTATTTTAACAGAAGGAACAACAGCAACAAAAAAAATCTATAGAACCTAAAGATGTAGCTTCTCGGTTGCACAAACTTCCAATGAGACAATATACACGAACACCCATACAGTAGTAAAAGGGAGCTGTTTAAAGCCACAGATACCTGTAAGGTGTCTCTCCTCTGTACAGCACAAATATTTCCAGAGGCAAAAGACACAATAAATAGCAAATCATTGTTACTGGTTACAGCTGTTTTTACTGAACATGGTTTCTCATAAGGAAGCTCACAAACACCATTAGGGAGACCATCTTGGAACCAAATAAGCTGATTCTTGTGGGTTACGGCAACGAGTGATATTCGGAGCTGTTTTTTTAATATCCCATTCTTGCAGATGCAGACAGAAGATACCACTCTGCTGTAAGCATGAGGCATAAAGCATGTGACGGTTAGCATTTTTTGTGCTGCCACTGCATATCCAAAGAACTCACTGCCCCAGATGGCTCTGTCTGAAGTTGAAAGCTCACCCTCATCTTCAGTCTCTGATAGCCAAGCAGTTCTTATCCCCAAAACAACAGTGCCTTCATTCTCAATTTCACCTGTCCACACAACAGAAGAAAGCTGAACAGGTGCACTTAGAACCGTGCAGGTGTCAGAAGAGATGTAGAACAGCTCGTTGGCATGCCTCCACAAGACTGAAGGGCCAGTAAACAACCTGATGTCTTCTTTCAGCTCATAATCCAATTTAAAATGAAAGGACTGCTCAAATTGATTTGAGCTGTGAAGCAACAATAAAAGGTATTTGACAACGTTGTTCCGTTTTTTCTTTTTTATCAAAATGCAGGGAAGTATAATCCCTGTTCTGGAATCCGTTGCGCAGCTACAACAAATGATTTGAATTTTCGAGTGACTGGCACGCATGCTGAATAATCCAGAAGACTTCTGAACAAACAGCTTAGTGTCTCTGTTGAACACCATTCTTCTGACACATAAATTCATTGTCTTATCAGCTTCTCCCTCCAGAGGTTTTGACAGCTGAAACACAAGGACTTCGCCATTGTAGGACAGGAATTGTTCTTGCTCATCTAGAAGCATCTTTATTTATCCTTATCTATATTCCTCTACAAGAAAACTGTACGCGTCTCCATTTTTGTCAGGATTATTTCTCTGCAGAAATTTTAACCTATCTGGACGTTTTCCATCTACAAAAGTGAACAACAAAAAAATTCACATCATTTTAGGACTAGATGAACTGTTCCTTAATAAGAAAAACTATGCATTGCAATGACATAGACTAACTTGAGAATGAGGCCGGTATGCGCTTTAATCTCACAGATTAAAATGAAGTTAAGTGAATTTGTACTGAGAGATTTAAGTAACAGAAACATTTCAGAAATGTACTGTAGCATTGATTTACCAAAGCATGAGTTTGTTGCTCATCAACAGCTACACAGCACAATATAAATTGCAAGAAACCAAACCATACACACGCTGTTTGTGTGACTGAACTGAAGGTGTCAGCTGCACAAATACACTGAGTCGACTGGAAAGCAAGCTTTGAGTTCTTAAATTTAAGAGCCTTCACTCAGGTGTAAGCTTCATTAATAAACATAACTCTTCTCTGGTTAAAGATATAAAGCGTCCTTAAGGAGGCAGTTCTCCGAGACAGAGTCCGGTCCTTTTGCCGCCAAGGAGGCTCTGTCCCTCCCACCCCGAGCCGAGGCCCCTAGAGCCACAGC